TTCCGAGATTTCGTGGCAGGTGCAGAACTTTTGACAGGTGGTCGTCGGCGCGCTCTGATTTCGTGGCAGGTGCAGAGAATTATGACCTTTGGGCATGTGGCTCGTTTTTTGGAAATCGTAGCAGTAGTCCGTGGTGGTGGTGGTGGTAGTAGTCGGAGTGAACAGTCGAATCAGGCTCCTAAGGTCCACACCTCCCAACATCGCGAACCAATGTGGGGCCTTTGGAACCTTTTGGCGCCTAAAAAGACATGGTAGTTCTCCGGAAGAAGCCTAGGCCTATGCTCATTAGGTCCCTAGAATCGCCAAACAAAATTATTGTGGCCATTTGCGAGGGAGTGTTCATTGATGATATTTGATGGCACTTTCTTTCCCGTATTTGGCAGTAGTGAACCAGCACAGATGCTCCCGTTTTGAAGCTTAGGCCCTGATGACAAGTCGAGCGTGCCAGAGGCCATGGTTGCGTAGTGAAGTTTTTGGATGCGGTTGTCACATCCTGCTTTGCAGATGAGTTGGTTCTGAGGTATGCTTGTGAGGATCCTTTCCTGGACTGGCCAGTGGACAGGACACACTACCCAAACATGATCCTTGCGGCCATGCACAGCAGGAACAGGATTGACTTCTGGGATGCACCCAGGAGGACAAGCAGTGCAATCATGCAACTTCACTGGGTGCACACACCGGAATCAGTCAGAAGTCAGAACTCAGAACAGAATTATTTTCTAATCAAGTGGCCCAGATGGTCCCCAATATGGAGTTGCCGCCTGGAACCAGGCCCCGGCTCCAGCAGCTTCTTCGCCGGCGGCAGGCGACGCTGGCGAAGCGTTGGGCCCGGTGCTGCTGGTGCCCAACCACTAGTTGGTCCAGAGACATTAGCAATTAGAGAGCGGACGTCCTCGAAAACCCATGTTGACAGTGAATTTTGGATGTTTCCCCTCCGAAAGGCAGACAATGACAAGGCAAATCTCAAAGCGCAAGGGATGCCAGTCAAAGAAGATGGAACACTTTTTGCACGAGAGTAGTCAGTAAGCAGTCCTACTAGGCGAGTTGCAATAACTGGCGCAGGGTCCGGAGCGATCCTGTTCAGGGTTGCAAGTTTCTACCTGACTGAGGATTCAATGTGCCAGATCAGATGGCACAACATGTTTTTGCTAATGGGCTTAAAACCGCGCGTGTAGTGAAGCTGATTTTTCATACAGTCCTTTTGGGGAGCAAGAACACACACAAACACACGAATTGGAATATGGAAGATGGGGGCAGGGGGGGTTCGGGGGGTTTGGGTGGGGGGCTAGTGATGTTCATGTTGTGCGCATTTGTATTAGGAAGCGGTTGGGTGGGGGGCTAAACACGTTGCATGTTCAGTGCATCATAGTGCATACGAAGATAAAGCCGGGTCTCCCTGACTGAACCGTTGTAGTCTAGCTTTGTGGTGTGTTCGTTCCACATTTATCGTCTACCTCGGATGCGACCGTAGCTATGCCGATCGTTCAGACTATGGTCTGCGCCACGAATCTTGCAATCACTCCAAAGGAGTGTTTTGTGTAAAGAAAAGGTTGCGGTCAGGAGAGCTGCTCATCCACACCGGTGCCATTGATGGTATGTGGCGTTTGTGTAAGGAGTCGGTCCCCACTAGCTTGCGTTCACGTGACGGTGACGATATAAACCCAAACATCATGAAGTTCATTCGACAGTGGCAATGGCGCTGGCACCAGAATAAAGACGATCTTCTGACGAAGCTGGGTCAGAAGTTGTCCAACAGACTTTGATCTGATGATGATGCTGGAGGATGAAAAAGCGCGCGTTCTTTTCGCACGAAACCACAGTCTCGTAGCATTTCGATGTCAAAATCGCTACGATTTTTTAGTTGTTTTCATGTACTGAATGCTGCGACAAACCTTTCCTATCAATGCAAAACACAGTCACACACCGGACATTCGTCATCATTGAGCACCTCAGCCTTTGAAGAATGTGTTCAACCGCATGCGCGGAAACGAGCCCGGCGGGATGTTTTTGTTTCAATCCTTTGGACTTTTGGGACATGCCAACACCCATTGACATCATGGATGTTTTCAGACACATGAATCATCCGTCAAAGCCCTGGCGCTCTCGCTCCAGGCGTGCCTGTGCCAAGTGATCCTGATGATGTGACCCGCTGGGAGGTTGGCAAGGGAGGCAGGGTGCCACAGATTCCTGTCGTTATGCGTTGGAATGCGTTGGAGTATTCATGATTATCCAGGATCCTTTTTAAATCCGGGTAGTCAGAGAACAATCATAACAACTCTGCGCACACAATGGCAATCTTCATCAGAATAAAACAGCATATAGATATAGCGATATCGTTCTTGCCAAAGGGGGTCCTGTTGTAAGTGTGCAAGGGGTCATGATGCGCAAGCTTGCTTCGGGCGGTTGGAACCTTGGAAACCGGGAGTCTTCGCGGTGGCCGGCGGTGGCCCGGTGGATCCGCACGCCATGCTTCGCACCGCGATGCTTCGTCCAGCGTTGGATGGTTGGAAGGCTGCGAACAACACGGGGAGCCTGTACCGGCCTGTAGCCACTTTGGATGGGTGGATTGATCACAAATATACTAGTACAAACTGACGCAGAGAAGGAGAATGTCCAGCCACCACGAGTGACTATAAGGAAGCATGGTTTCATATGATTTCTATGTATTCTATGGTGCCTCACCATGTGTCTCAAAAAAACTGCCATGCGCCGCTTGGCATGTTTGACCACCCTCGCGTGACCTCACTACCGCAGTTGGGGTTACTGCAGCACGCTCCGCAGCACGTTCCGCCGCGGGAGGCGTCACCGACCTCTCGCCCAACGTGCCCGGGCGGCTCCTGCTGCGATCACCAGAGGTCCCGAAGGAGGCCACCGCGCCGGCGGATGGCGCCGAGGCGCGAGAGAGCACCAAATTTGACCAAAGAAAGCGGGAGATATAGGGCGTTGGTGTGTGCCAGATGTTGTTTGTGTTGCAGGACGTTCGGCACAATGTCGGACATGCTGGGTGATCTTAGGCTGCGTACTGACTGGCTGCATGGTGCCCACTGACTGAAGTTCCTGTGCAGGTGACGTTCAACATCGAGGTCTTCGATTTGTCAGCACGAACGCGAGGACCTGCAGCTCTCTCCTGCCAATCTTTGCGGGCGCAGCTGGGCAGTGGCGAGGTGCGACTGCCGGAGGAGTTGGAGTGGGGTAGCCCAGATGGACCCTGGATTTGTGGCAGTCAGTGAGTTCGCAGCCAACGACTTAAATGATACAAATGATTCGCATTACTGTTGCAACCCAAGTTGTTTTTGTTCCATCCTTGTCGTTGATTGAACTTGACAACACCGTTTGCTGTGTCTGATCTTTGCTGGACCCAGACTCGTGGCCCATTTCTCGCCATGATTCTTGGAGTGTTTCTCATCGATGCGATCATTCGACGCTGCGCGCGTCGTTCGTGACGCATGAGGGTCATTTAACGCGACGCGCCAAGGATCATCATCCCCTGCTTGAAGCCTGGCGGAGTCTTCACTGCCTTCTGCCTTTTGGACATATATAAGTGGTTTGGACCGGGTCGATGTTTTTTCAGGAAGCCAGGGACCGGAGCATGGCGGCCTAACGTTGGTGCGAGAAAAAGCACGAAAAGCGCAGTGAGGCGGTTTGATTGAGTGAAGAACTAGCTATCTGGCTATTTGGCGACAGTTGGACCCACCGGTGAAGCCCCGCCTTGTCACTCAACATCCTCAACGGAAGGGCTTGGAAAAGACAGAAGTTTCCTTCTAAACCCCAAACCCCAAAAAGAGCCAGCAGAGGAGGGTACGGTATGGTTTTGACTTGGCACGCACCCTACAATCAATGTTCAGACAGCAAGCCTCAGGTTTGCAGTGCAACAACTGCCAACGGTTTTCAGTTGTGCTAGGATGCCGAGGTCAGACACTTGGAACAGCCCTGGAGTTGTTTTTTCCGGAAAACTCCGAGAAAGTTTGAAAAAAGGGTTTCTGTCATCAGTCAGTATAAACCTCTTATTGACATGGGTTCTCTTCTTTTCTCAGCCCCTTTCCGAGGCCGATCCTTTGGGGAGTTGGGCGCCCTACCGGAGACTGGGCTTTGGCAATCCTTGTCCAGCTGCGCCTCGGATTGCCGTTCGTTGTGCCGTTCGTCCGTCGTCCCTCCGACCAGGTCGTGGAGTCCCGTTCGGAACAGACGAGGTGGAGTCTGAGGAACGTCATGGACACCAGCACCGTGTTACGTGTTGGGCAAGAATCACCGTGAATTTGCTGCGATGCCGGGAGTCAGTTGACCAGCGACGCCGATGCGTCATAGACATCATGGTGACCGGTGGACCCCATGTATAGAAGTCCCATCTTCCAAGGTCTTGGGGTCTCGGACGTTCCAACAGAAGAACTCATTCCATTTTCCATTGGTCCACTTGATATACCTCGCAGGGGGGCCCGATGTGGGGCATCAGCCAATGTCGCGAACACGGACGGTCGACCTGCACGACCCGGCCGAGACCCGGGTTGGTAGAGGAAGATACTCTTCGAAGGTCCAGGTCTTCCGGTTTCCATGTGGGTCTTGGATCCCGGGTCTACATCAAACAACACGTTCTTTTTTTAAAGAACATGGTGCGCGGACCCGTAACCAGCTGAAAGGATAGCGGATCCTGCGGATCCTGAACCCGGACACCATGTGGCTTCAGCGGATCATTCCAGAGACTTTCCAGCGGAGGCAGTGATATAAGACATAGTAAGACCAATCAACCAATCTTACCCTATAGGTGGTGAGTTGTCCGATATGTCAAGTCACCACATCATAGGAGCAAACATCATGATCAACATCGACAAGAACACGGGTGTGGCTCAACAAATGTACAGTAGCCCTAGCCACTCAGTGGTTTAGTTTCTTGAGCCTTTTTCCCGTGGGCTTACCATCGTTAACAACACCGAGAAGAACAACCACACCCAGGACCATGATGAAAACGACAGCGACTACAATGACCACCACAGCATGTTGGCAGACTCTCCCAGTCGAGTCGCACCGCGCGATAGCCCGCCAGTTCACTCGGTTCGTTACTGGGGGCGACATCGGTGGCATGGCGTGGGATGCCTTTCTGCCCAGTTTGTCCTCGATTGCTGCGCGCTGCGCGGGCCGTTTGGTGAGTCACCACTGGGCGCAGCTGGACGAATGCTTGAGCGAGACATGGGCAGAGGCGAGGAGTCCCAAGGAACTTGAGGGTCTTTCAGTTCACCGGTTGGTCCAAACGGGATTGGCTGCAAGCTGGCCGGTTAGGGCCCCCAAAGCTTTATGGTTTTCCTGGTTGTGGCCCCTCGGACAGGTAGATACAGGTAGAACATCCCTCATGGTTGTTTCCCATGACGGTCCGGGCATCGTGATTACCGTAGATCAATCCTGCTTGAGGCCCTTGCAGCTGAATGTTTGCTTTTGGAGGAGGCCCAGTTGCTGAGATCCTCGGCCAAAACCGGCGGTTTTTTTTCCTGTTCTTTTATGCAGTCGCTACGTTTGAAGGCTTCGACATTCAGACTGGCCTCACAGCCTTTCCAAGTGCCAGTGTAAAAGTGGCTGTGACCATGTAGGGCAGTGTAGGTCCACACGTTGACTCGGTCCACCAGGCGGGTTGAACCTGCCTGCGGGTCGATCGCCCCCCTTGTGGTTTGGCCGAACTTCTGCCTCACGGAAGAGGCGGGTCTCACAGGTGCGAAAGCGGACGGTTTCCAAATGTTTCCAATCTAATTACTGGATATATCCGGATGGTTTTCTTATGTTTCTTAGCATTTGGGATTTCATGGGATTTCTATCCCCCCAGGGGTTGACAGAGATTCTTCGGATGGCCTCAAGGAAGGGCGCAGCCTCATGGGACATGTTTTGCAGCATCCTTCAACATTGTTGGTGCACTGATGTAGACTCTTAGATGAATAACTTAACCTCTCCCTTTGGATTGAAAAACAAAAAACTGTTCAATCCTTTTCACATTTCAAGAGTTTGCATTAAAACTGCTCGCAAAGTAAGTTGAATTAGGTCGCACTACGTAGGTTGCTTCCCTTGCCCGGTTATGCTGCTTGGACACGGACGGCCGATCGAAGAACACACTATCGAGACCTCGAGAACGAAGTTGGCCAAAAATGGCCTTCAAACAACAGCAAGGGATGTGCCAACAGCGGTCTCTATTAGGCCCTTCGAATTGGAAAGGTTCCCCTAGGGCCTAGGGCTTGTATCTTTGAGAAGCTGTTTGGGTGGGTTTGGAGGGTCTAACTTCTGAGGAGGCTTTTGGAGACCTAGGGTCACTTTTGATTTGAGCTGTGATTGAGTTGACAGCAGTGGTTGCTTTTGAGCGTGCCTTTTTCGACTTGGCAAAAAGGAAGATGACTCCGAAAAAGAGAGACCATCACAGATCACAATGGTATAACATGGCAGTATTAATTTGAACTTGTACTGGGCAGAATCGCCTCTATGGCGCTCCCCCACTTCTCTTTTGCTTGGGGTGTGAGCGACGATGTGCTGGTGCTCGCTGAGGCCCTCACACCTTCGAGTTTGCGGCGGAGGGTGGTCGCGTGCAGTATCAACACCCTGGACGGAGGTTTGTGGATTTGGAGGCGCGACCAGTGGATTTGACACACTACTGGCCACTGGCCGCCACTGGCCTGCAGGACTTGACATTGGACTTGACTTGTGTTTCTCGAGTGGGCCGTCCAAAGGTTGACATAGCAACGTAGTAGTCGAACCATACATCGTCACCCATTGACATGTCAATCATTCCTGGTCGCGCGGCTGAATATTCTAACGCCTTTTCACGACTTGTCCAGCGCCACGTGAAGTGGTGCCAGAAAAGATCGAAACGGTGTCCAAAAAAACAACCAAGAGAGAGAGAGAGAGAGAGAGACAGAGAGGAGAGAGAGAGAGAGAGAGAGAGACGAGCGAGAGAGAGAGAGGGAGTTTACTAATGATATCTAATGACTCTTAGGTTCAAGATTGGTTTCAGCTTCGTATTTTCGGTAAATCCACCAGCCACCTTCGGCTCACCTTTGCGCCAGGCTCCCCGCGTGACACCGGCAGTGGCCGCACGCGCCCCGGGCCTCGCCCACTTCGCTGCTGTGGCCGCAGGGAGCTTCACACGGCGGCTGCAGGAGGCGGCGCCCAGCCTACAGCTGCGGCCAGAGGTGCAGGTGAGGTGCGGCAAAGAAGCAAAAGGGAGAAAATGGGAGGAAGACAGGTGAAGACGTCCTGCAGCGTGACAGAGGGGCACATGATGTCCAAATAGCTCAACTAACTTACTAATCTAAACAGAACACACGCACACACGACAAGAGAACAACTTGTTTTGGACTCCTGTACACCCAACGCCCCCCTTGTTTGAAGGGCCTGTTTCGAAGGAAAGAGTGGGTCGTTTCCCTTTGGCTAACCGGAGTCGTGGCCGAGGTGAAGCTTCAACTCACCTGTGGGAGCTCGGGCTGCGCCCCGTGCCACTACGACACCTCGGAGACGGCGCCAGGGCGCCAGGTGACCTGGCTCTTGTACCTGGGCGACTGGAAAGAGGAGTATGGAGCTGAGCTGGTGTTACAGCCATTCTTGGACTCGGAGGTTGGGAGTTGTTTTGATTTTTGGTGAGTTCTTGAGTTCTTGAACGTTTTTTTTTGTGAAATCATGTCTCAGGGCCTACAGGTTGCAGTTCCGAGCTTGAAGTGGCAGACTTCCAGAAGATTTTCTATTGAACAAGCGTTTTTGAGGATGAATCTGACAGAATTTGTCTCATTACCTTTTACACACACACACACACCCTGCATGGCTGGAAGGTGAAGATTTCTCCCCTCTTCAATCGTGGCATCCTCTTTCTCTCGGACCGGCTCTTGCACTACACCTTGCCACCCACCCGTGAGGGTGCCACATTTGGACGCTGGCTGTTGACGATTTGGCTGGAGGGCGACTCTGTGGATGCTCCTTTGGGCCAGCGCTGGCCACCACTGCTGCAGCGGACACTGGCGCCAGCCATTTACTCCAAGGTGTTCCTGAGTTCGTTGGAAAGAAGCATGCCGCCAGGTCCTGCATTGGATGCCTTGAAAGCTGCCCAGGAGGAGGAGATCACCTCCCTAGAGTCCGATGAAACCTTTGGAGAAATGCTTCCGGACCTCAGGGAGGCAGCGCTGGACGCCATCGCATCCAATCGGAAGCGGAAGAGCTCCGGTGACCAACCGCCCTGTGAAAAGAGACCACTTGGTGCCAGTCAGCCAGTCACTGGAGGTGTTGGAACAGTTTCAGTTTTGCGTCATGAGTTGAGACAGGGGGAGCTCCGGCTCCACCCTTCAGCGAAATCAGAATCCCACCCCGAAGTGGTGTGGCTACACTGCCTGGCACCGCAAAAGTGTACCACCACCAGTTTCAGAACAAACATGGTCATGCCATGGTCATCCCTTTTTCATCCTTTTTCAGAACCATAATATATCCGTCCACGTTTTGTCTGAGAAATCCAGGGAGTGCACTTGCTGAGGCATGGGTAAAGAGGTGCTCATGAAACTGGAGCTTTTGGAGGCGGGTCGAACGTTACTGAGAGACCTGCAGGGGTCGGGGGTGTTGGTTCCGAGGTGGTTCTGAGGTTGTTCAACCTTTGTATTGTGATAGGCCTGTAGGTGGATGAAGCCCGGCTGTTGAAGAATCATAATTATATACTTGTTCTTTGTTGGAGGGGCCGGGGTGCATGAGGAAATGAGGGCCAATTTGGGTGCCAGCTTTGGACTAGCACTGGTTGAATGTGGGATGACCATGCCAAAGGGGCTGCGCCATGGCTTCCCCCATGGGCAACGCATAGAGTCTAGCAAGCCGAACAGGTGGCGCCACCTGCTTCGGGAATCTCCCAAGAGCCACGTCACAAGGCACAAGATCTTTGCCTCGCCACGTTGGAGGGCCACGAACGACTGGAGTATGCCAAAGGCCCTTTGGGCGTTTGAACGAGCGACGGCGGATGACATCAGTGTTCGGCAGGTGCCTGGAGGGTGGCTGGGGGTTGTCTTTGATTTTGTCTAGCGGGATTGAACGAGCAGCGCTTCTGGGAGATTGTTCAGTTGCGGTGTGCATATGGAAAGTAGGATAAACTAGGTATCGAATCACCTGAGAGGCTGGAAAAAGGGGGCATCTATGTAGATGTGCGAATCATGATCCTTTGCCCGCACACCACCGTGGCGCTGGAGAGCTACAAGCAAGGCTACCGTCGGAACGCACCCGGGACTAGCCTGGCTCTTAAGGGCTGCAGCTACTCACAGTGTTTCGTAGATGAGGGTTTGTTACATTCATGTAGGGCGAGCCTCCCTGCTATGTCACACAAGGACTCAAACCCAAATGGGTTGGAGGTAGAGCGCAATCATGATGGTGCCTTGCTACTTCCATGCACTTCTGGCATGTATACACCAGTGAACAGTATGGATTCCGTTGATTTGTTCAAGCCGGGTGTCCCTGTTCTGGGCCGGAGCCAACCTTGGCGCATCGGGCCCTTAGTGAACTTGAGCATGCTCGACCCCATTGGCATTGAACATCCATCCCATTGAAAGTTAACATCATGTGAATATGTAATATAGATGAACATTCTTCCCATTGATTCTATCCATACCCCGTTTTAGAAATACAGTAGTTGTGCCACTTAATCAGGATTGCACTGTGTCATGCTATGCCCATCTAGAGTGGTCACTGGATGCGCAACGCATCCACTGTGGTGGATAGCCTGCCAGGGCGGAAAGACGCCGGAGGCAGATACTTCAAGCGTGGGTGGTTTCAAGCAGCCCTGGAGACACTTGGCCAACGGGGCACCTGGCAACAAAGTTGGGAGGCGATGGCTTTGCCCCACAGCCTGGGGTTCTTGGATGTGTTCTGCTTGAGGGCTTTTCAGGGCACGGTGTCACTGCGGGTCACGGCCACTCGGCCAGGTGCAATGATAAGACTCTGCAAGTCACCCCATCTGTGCCTTGCTGCCTTGCTCCGAGGAGATATAGCCTGACAGCGGAGATGCTGACGCACAGAGATGACATCAAGGTCTCTTGGGCCGATCTTCAGACCTCTTTGGTTGGCCAGTGGATGAGGCTCTCGTGCCCAAATTGAGGCTCTCATGCTTCCAGATGCTTCCAATGCACCCAAGAGATCCCAGTAAATTTATTTGTGATTGGGTCCACCGCTGTATACATTGTGTATCCTACAATCTGCTTCCAGGATGGATCCAAAAACTTCTGGAAACACACCAGGTGTGAGATTCATTCAGATTCCCGCTGTAGCTGCAACTGTCTCGAAGTAAGGACAACTCCTTGTGGTCTCAAGCGCAAGAGGTCAAATCGGCCTGCGAGCTAAATGCAGTGGGAGGCTCAGCGAGGGCCAAGTGTAGTCCTACCCAGTCAGTGGATAATCTTTAACCTTCTTTGGGGATTGGTTTCCAATGGCTTCCCACCACCAAAAAGATGTGGAAAAAGATGGAAAAAGGTCACTGTAACCATGGTTAACCTCTATTTTCCAAGGGGAACTGAGGTGGAGGCCCTCCTACTGTATGAACCAGACACTGCGAATAGTGAGATAGTCTCCAGGTGCAGCGTGATCCAAAATTGGAAAAGAAGGATTAAAGTAGAGACGGTGTTTCCTTTTTAGCTTGGCTAGCACGAACAGGAACCGCCAGGAGGAGTATGGAAGATGAACTTCCCTACGAAAAGTGGTCAACTAGTTTTGATTATAAAACTTTTGAGGAGGGTTAGGGTTTTGCGCAAGAGTAGACGCCTTTGGCCTCCCTCCACTGTATGACCATAATGACGACATCGTGTATCAGTTTGTCATGTGACAACTTCGGTGGGGACGTGCCCCTGGCACTGTGAGATGGGGACTTGAGCACATTTCGCTCCGGTTACGGAAGTGCATATGAGCCAGGCATAGCCAGGCTATCAAAACATTTCCGAATACCACTTGAATAAAGATCCCCCTTGGTTGTGCCATACTGAAATCCTAGACGTAGACGTGACTATTTCAGAAATAAAAAAACTAGCGAAAAAGTTCGCTGATAAGGATGTCAGGTAGGACCCAGGAAAAAACAACAAGAAATCGGGCTGTTTTGAAATCCTTTTGCTTAGGGTAGGGCGCCAGGATTCCAAAAACACGTAGGACTACAGGATTTCACTAAAATTGTAGGATTTCACAAGGTAGAGATGCTGGGGTTGTGCTAAGACTTTAGATATTCTAGAGATACTGGAGAGGACGCTTTTTGCTGTGGCTGTGCTTGTGCATTTGCTTTTTGCAGCATTTATCTGCTCGGCTGATAGATACACATGCTGTATATGATTGCAATCAATTTAATCAAATGATGGCTTGCGTATGGGGCCATGTAACCATTTGTTTTTAAATGTAAACAATGGTACAGTCGCATTTTTTGGAGTGGTAGCTGACAGAGAATTCGGGCCATGTCTTTGCAAACACCAGTGTCAGACACCAGAATTGGAGTCCTGCAGTGCGGTGCGCTTGGAAGGGGTGTCTTTGCCAGAAAGCAACTGGCCAAAGACGAGCGCTTGCACTTGGAGGTCACAATTGTCCAAAAGTTGAACCACAGTTGCACCAGCAATGCCCGCCTGGTTGAGTATTAGGTAGATACCCAGGATTTTACTAAACGTTTGATCAGCTTGGACTCCTTGTTTTTTCCTTGGTTCCCTACCCTGAACACGCGTCGGTCCAAAGGATTTTACAAAAAGCACTTTTTGGGAAAAAGACCTAGGGCACCAATGAAAAAATACAAAGTCACCTTGGATCAGTAGGATTTTAATACGTAAAATCCTGGGGATCTACGTTAGCGGTCAGTACGAAGGGGGATAATAAAGAGGGGTAGGTTTTGTGCACGAAACCCTGTAAAACGACAAGGTCCACCTCAAAACCGATAACCCCAGCACTGTATATGATCATCAGTATGTGGCGGACTCACAGCACTGTAAAACGATCAGGTCCAACTCAAGACCCATAATGTCCCTGGTATATTTGAAGAAGAACCATAAGTTTTGACCATGGCTCATATGCTTCATGTCTTCATCTTGGCCAAGGCGTTAGAAGACATTGGGCATTCACCCATGGACTCCTATCATCTCCCATCCCATGGTGACCTAAGGAGAGAACATACCACTCCCAAAGAAAATCCCTGCTCGGGTGTGACGGAGAGCTGAAACGGGCTGTAACCATCCATTTGGGTCTTTGGACGTTCCCGTCTTTTCCTAGGCTGCGTGCTTGCTCAAGCTCGAGAAGTGGCGAGATGTCGAGGCAAATCCAAGGGCACTGAGCATCACTGAGCAGTGAAATGGTACCGATGACCCCGCAACTTGAGGTCTTGGGGCCGGGGTGTTTGTGATGTTTTACTTTGTTTGCAGATTTTGCAGGGCCCTCGACTCAACCAGCTTGTGCCTGCCTCGTGTTTTCAGGCTTGGCAGTCAGATGTATGATATACTAGGTGGTACCATGGTGTTTTCAACCTTTACTTGGGATGATTGAACCCACTGACCAAAAAATTCAAGTCCGGTGAAACCACCAACCAGTGTTCGTATTTTCTTGGGATCGCTTCCCTGCCCATGTTTGGGCCAATTCGCACCAGTCCAGAGTGAAGTAATAGGTTTTTCAGTCTTACCGAGATCTGGTGAAACAACAGACATGGTCCCACAGTGCACCATATATACATGACCATGGAACTTTGGAGCCTGGCTGCATGCAACGCGGTGTGGCTGGTGTGCGCATCCGAGCTCAGGCCGTTTGCAATGCCATCTTGCGCACCAACCCGGCCAACGAGAAGGCAGGGAGACCGCCTGGGAGACCGCCCTGCGGACCGACCCCTCCGGATCCCTCCACGTGTGCGGCCAACCTGAAACCGGCCATATGACCTGCACCCTGCAGCGCTCGTTTTGATGCAGGTGTGATGTGGATGTGTACTATATTTAGTTATATATATATATTATTATAGATGTATAGGCAGGTACGTGAAATGACACACACACGTCACACACACACACACAATTATCTCATTGATTCCCAACTGGATGTCGAAGTTGTTCGAGTCTCTGGCAGGATCCGCCCGGGCGGTCTACGGCATACGATGTCATAGGATGGTCCCTCCAACGTTTCACCGGAGAGACAGTTCTTCCGTTTCGGAGCCCTCATGTCTTTAGGGTGCGGGATGCGTCCTACATGAAGCACCTCCACCCATTCAGAAGACCAGTTGGGTGCATCGAATCTTTGTGCAAGTCGCGGTTGGAAGTGAAGCCCTGCTTGAATCGACCCTTTCTGTCTCTTGTTTGTTGGCCGTTGATCTTTCACGTTCTTTTTCGCTTCATGACACCGATCCTTTGGCTCACCTTTGTCCCTTTGACACCGATGCTCGTCGCTCCATCGTCCAGGGCCACGTGCGTCGTGCGTCCGCCGCGGCGCCGAAGTCAGGCGCTCTTCCGCCGGGGAAAGGCGCTGCTGGCGCTGGGCGAGGCAGACCGCGCGGAGAAGGATCTGAAGAAGGTCTTGGAGGCGTGGAGGGGAGATGAGTAGAGTTCGGAGTTGTGGAGCTCTTGGAGCTTGAACTCAAGCTGAGTTGCATAGTTGTGGCAGGTCGCCAGGCAGGAGTGGGCATGGCTTGGGTTTTCGTGAGATATCTGCTTTTTACCGGGTACTGTGGGCTGACGTGTGCCAGACAGATGGGAGAGAGGCACTGTTCCTGAAGCCGAGCCGAGCCACATGAGCCGAGCCCAAGGTCAACGCTGGGAACAGTGAGGCCAAGCACCTTTTGCAGCAGGCCGGGGGGGTGTGAACGCTGCGGTGATTAGGGCCTAGGGCGAGAACACCGGGATCTCGACATGGCCAGAAGGTTCATGTTGACTGTTGATTCATGGTCTTGAGCCTTTTCCCATCTCCACACGCTATGAATCAAAGCATCTCATCCACACATCACGGGCAACATGCTTGAATTTCATTCTTCAGATCTTCGACCCTCCCGGTTCGACCCTGTTTTGAGGGATCCACCGGAGAAGGACGTGCGGACAGTTTACCCTCGAGGGTCCATGACCGAAATGAAGTCTCCCCTTAGACGTCTCTATTGGTTTGTCCTAATTGCCTGTAACAACCCGTCAACAAGCCAATCATCATTTTTAAACAAGGCCTGCAACTGAATCATCATCCACTGGGCCCAGGTAATAGGATAGACCCAATCTCTATTGCCGAGTCTATTGATTTTTTTGTGTCACCCGAAATAGGACCTCCCAGTTCGACGCCTGCAAGAAGGACATAGACCAAAAACCCAATGATGAAGGCCTCCATATAGTTAAATGCACATATAGAGGGGTGAACATGGGTCTCCAACTTGGCCCTTCCAGAGGGTTGTTGAAGGTCACCCCGGGTATGCTCTCGCTTTAATGGGGTCATGGCAGGCTCGGAAGGAGAGCAAAGGCACGAAACGTGAGCGGAATGTGTATGCTGCGATGCTGCAGTCTGAGTGAGATCAAATCGCCCCCATTCACCATCGTGAAATGTGAAACGGTCAGATCTGGAAAAAAACAGCGCATGCATGCATTCGTGGGCAATTTTCCCATTCCATGCTAGTGAGTCTGTGGATGATGGGTGTCAGTGTGGAAAGCATTGAAGCCTTGTGGCTCTTTGAGCTTCCAGGAGTTGGTTAGAGCCCGTTGGGGGTTGTAACTATATTATATCGTTTATATTCGCTTGTGTATTTGTGTATATCAATATATGTATCAATCATTGATCAGCACAATCGCTTACAATCATACATGTTTTATTATCAGCTGTCCAGAAGTATGTTCCATGAAACAGGGCGTGCATGCCAGATCTTTCAAATTCTTTCAAACAAACCTCCGTTTGCAAAAGATGGCTGTGATGGAACTAGTGGTGTGGCAGTAGGGCAAGTGAGCTACGACCAAAACCCCCAAATGGATGGTTTAGTGCAATCCATCCAGTGTTGAAGGATTTTCTATCAGGTGGCAGGCAGTAGCTCAAGTGACGGGCCCTGGGCGCTTTGGATCCGTCTCAGCTAAAGAAAGGCCCACCAGGCGTCACGAGCTAGCGCTCTGAATGGAGGCACAAGGTTTCAGCAATTTTCCCGGTGCGGGCGGGTGTACAATGGAGAAGGAGGTCATGCCCTGCAATGCCAATCTCCAGTTTTGACTTCCCCACACCTGACACGGAAGTGCACCACGAAAAGGAGGCTTTGGAACTATGGCCATGTCTGACCATGTCCACTGAAGCGTCCTTGTTTGGAAGGGGATACCTTGGGAGTCTCCATGGTCATCCACTGTGGGTAACATTGGGTCTTAGGATGTCTCAGGAATGGTCTCAGTTCTCACTATGTTTGGCAGATAGGAGCCGTGCACTTCAATGCTGAGGTTTGGGGAGGGTCTTTCATCGTTGACAGACCCAGCCGCCTTAGAAGAAAAAACGTGCTTTTCAGAGGGGGCGTTGGACAGTGTTGGCGTCCAATACGGCGAGTGGTGCAGGTGTGTTGTCCATCAGCGGGTAGGTCAGCGAAATTCTATGTGTAGCTAAGCCGCTAAGCTTGCAGGATTCCAATTGCAGCTACTCTGCGGTTTTTGATGATTTCTGATTACTATATACTCCGATCTCACCCGATATCGACCTGAAACACAGCTCCATGCGCCGAGGTCCAACCTCTCATGGTGCTTCGCACGCGCAGCGGACGCGAACCACGTACCCTTGATGGAGCAGCTCATCGCGCCCATGGCCATCGCACAGATCGCCGCTCGGCGCCACGGACCGGGCGCGAGGCACGGCGCCTGAGGCGCGGCGCTCGGTCGAGCGCTCGGTGATTTCAGTGGCAGGAGGGGGTGCCAGACATGTGATTTCGACGCCAGGTCACCATTGGTCATTCATGGTTCTGAGAAAGACATGCAGTGGTTATACAGGGTGCACCAGGATTTGCAGCGTTTCTGACCCAATCCCGCCATGTTTCGAGGTCGAACAGCTTTGGAACTCGGATGGGGCCGGTGGAAGGAAACCGATCTGGTACCGATCTCCCGTCGTCGACATGTCGTCCACCGGCCCGAACGGAGAACCGGGCCTAGCGGGCCCCAGGCAGAGTTTGGTGCGCAGAGCTTGGCCAACAGGTGCACGGTGGTGGCGGGTTGTGGAACTTGGTGGCGGGAGCCCGGGCTGCAGAAACGAAGTAACCAGTAAGTAACCAGTCAGTAATTAATATTGACCAACATATAATATATATATATAGTTATATATATACACCAGCACCCTCCAACGGGTCACCACCTGCGACTTTTAAGTCAGCAAAAGCCTCCAGAGGAGACCTGTTGCAGGGTGCTGGTATATATATATAAATTATTGTTGTGAGCTTTTGGCTTTTTCTTACCTTGGTGGTGGGGGGTCAAAAAGGTCCTCGGGGCAGGGTAGTCATTACAACGATCGCCATCAACATTGCTCACGATGGCACAAGCTTGATGCGCTATCGGACAATTTTGCAGGCTGGGCAAGGGTGGTGTGGTGTGAGGGTGGCGTTAACGTTCTTTTGAACCTTGCAGACGCAGTTGAGGCTATGTGCGCCACAACGTTAACACCACACCAGCCCACCCCACCCTGCTCACATGAAAGTGCACAACAAAAAATGTACGTAATTATTTACAACTTCTCCCCAGTGGCGCCATTAGCCGCAACAACACCTGCCAAAACCAGAGGTCCTTTAGATACTGGGGCTTGACCTGATTTGCCAGGGTGCAGGGTGTCCTACACCATCCGTGGTGCTATCCATGTCAAGAAGAGTCCAAGCAAACTGGCCAAGTCAGTTCCATGGTGCTGCTGACAGCCAAGCGATGACATCTCTATCATGATCTATCCAGTTTGTGTGCCTGACACGAAGCTCGTTCATTCTCCAAATAAATGTCGAGGGAAGTCGAGGGTAATGTTCGGATGATGTGCCCCAAACACCAAGAACCAGGAAAGTGTGCCGCCTGAGTCATCTCACGTGAGCCATGCCGCGGCATGGCTAGGGCATGATCCTTCACGACTTTGGCCGTTTGGCACCCTGTCGCCACCTGAGATCTTTACAAGTCGGCGAGGGAGGAGGTGGATACCCGAAAGTACAGGTATCTTTCGACCCCGACAGCTCTTGAGGAATCAACCAGTCTGACTGAAAACTGCCTCGTACCCCCTAAAAGCCCCGTCAACATTGGCTGTTGCAGCATGTCGCCGCCAAAGTCTTTTTTGCGACCTGCAGGTGATCTGTATACCCCCTTCACAACCCACGTGAAACCCAGTGGTGATGTGTCCAAGAGAACCTTTCAAGAACGATGCGGATTTGGCACAGTTTGGTCTCGCACCTCCTATACTGAGGTCATGGAGGCCATCTCGCAGGAGTCACAGAGAAAGCTCTCAGGTGGGAGGGGCTCTCAGTCGTGGTTTTGGCCAGCTGTGGGTCACTTCTATTTGTAGTCCTGGTTGCTTTTTCTTGAGACCCAGGCTGTCTTCATGCGGGTGACATATCAACACTACCATACAGTGGCCCGGCGTGGTTTTGTGATCTCAGCAGGTGCTCTACAAACACCACTAAACCATAGTAAACCAATGGTTCTCATGTAAGGGGTTCTGAATGGTTCTGGTTCTGCTATGATTCAACAAGCGGTTTTGTCCAAAGGATGAATGTGACCATGTCATCGTCCTGAAGCTGGCATTTGGTGGCTGCATTCGCTGTCCGCCCTTCGCTCCCATCTCCAGTCTCAAAACGACGCGGCGGCCAGACGTCGCTTTTTCGCGATGTCGTGACCTCCCGACACCGTCGTTGTCACCCTTCGCACGGTTCCGCGCTATGACGATCGTCTTGGGGGAGACTTGGGGTGACCAGCTCCGGGCCTATGAAAGGGAGAAGAGGTATGAAGTGGATGCTGGCTTGGTCAGTGGTCAGCCCTTGCGGCTTCTCCCTGGCATGTTTCAGGCGGGAGAAGCCCGAACAGAGTCCGGCTTGGCGAGAGTTGGAAGGGACAAAGGGAGGGCATGTCGGAGGGTGCAGACCCTTGTGAACATTTGTGAACACGTTGCAGATATTGAACCTCATTATTTATAGACTCCAGACCCTCAAAAACCGTGTCAAACCCATTTCAGTCGGTTTACACGACATGTTTACACCACTCCTTCCCTTCAATGAACACCCTAAATAAATCGATATATATATATATATAATATAGTATATATATATATTATACATATATATATATATTGGTCACATACATCTCTTCATCTCTTCAGGCCCCCCGTAGAAGTGAAGCACTGCACGAGGGTGCTTCCCCGCATAGCACCGCGCCACTCCTCCAGGCCCAGGAGCGCACCTATGACCCTGTTCTGGGCCGCTATCGCGACGGCGCGGTGGAGGGTACACAGAGGCATGCGGAGGAGCGAGAGCGAGTGGCACATCTGAACCGTGCCGAGCTCAGACGGGTACCGTGGCGAGCTCAGACGGCGCCCTGCTCAGACGAGCTCGGGTTCTTTGTAAGATAAGGGGCCCCCAAGAAACATCAAGAAACCAAATGAAACACGGGAATAATTGTTTGTCTCAATGGAAAGGTCCAAGCAGTTCAAGCCACAAAGTCCTTGAGAAATCACCCCTTCAATCTATTTGGGACTCATTCGGGCTAAGGCGTTCAATCTATTTTGTCAATTCCTTCCCTCTCCAGGTGCCAGGGACATCCAGATCCTGCGGGAGCAGCCTTTCAACATCCTCAGCGACTGGACCGAAATAAAGAGACGCGTGTGGTCAGTGTAGTGTGCTTTCTCATCTTTCTCCTTGTGGTGCGTGTTTTTGTATGTTGTTCCTTCTTATCGGCTAGCGGCTAGCACGCTCTTCAAACGTCCCTTTAGGATCTTTATGGGGGTGTTGCACGTGTCTTTTTTCTCCAGCAACTGTTAAACCGAAACGGCAACTGTTAAACCGAACCAGGTCAAGAGTCCAAGCTGGATAAACTGGCACCTGGAAAAGATCCCATGCGCTTGGGGGGCCATGGTACTCTGGGCGAGAAGGAGCGCACCAAGGAGGGCAAAGGCCTGGGAGACGGTTGAGACGCGCTACGGAAGCACCGAGTATGTTTTTCTCGGCAGGGACGGATGATCAAATGCACTTGGCTGGGACGGTTGGATGCAGTTTAGATGGGAAGGGTGGGTGTCTGCTGGAAAAGCAATGAATTTCGTGTGCATGCATATATCTTCATTTTTTAAATCTATTATATATATAATTGGACTGGTTATTGCGCAATTTCAATGGAAATATTTACCTCGGCAAGAATGGAACGACACAGTAAGGTATGCCATCATCTGGTGGGTCTCTACAGTACTCGTATTCATTTCAAGTTCCTTTGGACAACTGCCGATGGCTTGGCCCTTCTTCAGGCAACTTTCCTGACACCGCAGTGGACTACAATATCCTCTCCAACCTGCCCTTCAAGGAACAGCATTGGGCCAAGGAAGATAGCCGCCCACGGATGAAGGAGAAGTCTCCCCGGGTCAGGAGGATACCTGCATTTCTTTGCAAGGACTTTGACATAGTGACCAACAGGTAGCTTTGGCACAAACAGGGTAGAGAGAGGGAGGGCGAGAGGGAGGGCGAGAGGAGACTACATGTTGCATGGAACTGAATTATTTTGGGCAGACGCGCTCCCGCCCATCGACCGGGGTCGGTGGATATTCACAAAATGAGGCCTTTTCGAGCTGCACAACTCTATCGAGGAGACCCAACCAAAAAAGAATTTCGTTGATGATTGGGCCCAATTGAACCAAACATCGCAAAGGTTTTAACATTAGATTTGCACAATTCGGAAAGGCGTCCGGGATTGGCGTCCCTGGTTGAAGGTTGATCCCAAATCCCACCGAACTGGATGTCCAACCAGGGATTGGACCTAGGTCCGAAGTGGTGGCACCTTGGAACATTCCGATGCCGGCACCATCCGGGTCCACCCCGACCTCTTGAAGGGGCCCCTGCCCCCTTCCTTCAGTGGACCCTTTGGTCATCAGGAGCCCTGCCCACTTAGTGGATATCCTATTGGATCCTACATGATCCTACTATTGGGGTGTCAGCGCCCCGGCCAAAACGAACAGCTAAACAAGGGGTACGGAGCTGAGGGAGTCCGGTTACCGCTGTTCGGCTCAGGTATTTGGACAATCATTCGGAGAAGCTGCGCCAAGAGAAGCGAGTGAACCTCTTGGAGGCGCGATCTGGGGGCTGTGAGGCTATACCCTCCTGCAGATTAACATGGACCCTGAAAACCATCGGGTGGCAGATGAGAATAGTCTTACTGACAGGGGTCCCTTTTCATGGTCCATGTTAGTTTGCAGGGGGTAAGATGGACGATGGCTTGATGCAACGCATGCCTTTCTTTTATATTAAGAGCACACGTTGGCTCTTTTCCTGAGTGTTTTGGGTTGATGGCCCAGTCCCCAGCAGGAGTTTCGAGAGATTTTGTAGATATTGTCATTGTCTCACACATAAATATATAGCTGCCGCTCACACTGTCCCACCCTGACAGCTACTGAGCGGCTACTGTGAGCTTTCGCATCATTTGATGCAAGTCCGACCAATCAAGATAAAGCACGGTGCTTCAGGCAAGGTGACCATGTGTACCGCAAACTTAGTCCAAAGCCATCCGAAGCCAAAACATGATTGGATTCTTTCTCCAGGTTGCCAAGTGAGTGGGTCCTTTTGGGATCATTCAACTCTTGACTGACTCTGTTTCCTTGCCTATCTTCCCACCCAGCCGCTCATAGCCGCTCCCCAGTTCGCTCCCCTTGTCGCTCCCAGGCCACCGAGAAGCATATGGCGAAGAACGGCTTCGATCCCCTGACCGGGAAGTTCTGCGATCCAAAGGTGGAGGCGTCGATCTGTCCGGTCGCGGGAAGCGGGGGGAAGCGGGGAAACGGGCGGTCGCGTGAGAACTGAGGAGCCTGCAATCCATGGCTATCCCAACAATTTGGGGGCTATTCCTGTTTGGGAATGGTCCAAGTATATAACGACTTAAACAATGCTATATCACACCTATACACAGGATGTTGTTTAATCTATATATCCTATACTTACCGCTCAGTGATGATTCAATCGGCTTTTCTACGCCGCCTTTGTTCAGAGCGACCGGGGAACTCAGGACTACCCAACCACTGAATCTATGTTACAGTCTATGTTGCTTAATTGCTCTCCAATTCTACTACTGTACTAGTACAATACAGTGGTTTTCAATGAGTAATGCCACTAGCACCGGAAAGATGTTGTTGTTTAATGTCTTTTTTGTAGGGTCCTTCATAAATCACCTGAAACCACCGAACTGGGCTCCTTTTGCCATCGGAGCTCTGGACAGCTCACTGGTCGGAGCTCTGATCTCGGAGCGGCCAGGAGAGGGTGCAGAGAATCGACGATGCGCGGGAGGTGGAGATTCACCTGCGCGGAGAAGCCAGGCGCAGCGAAGCCTGGCCGGTGGGGTGAACGGCTGGCCGTGGGTCTCCATACTCCCATAATCTGAGTCTCCCATAGCAGGACCTCTTCCCAATGGGTGTGGACTAGGCTACACTGCTTAGAGATGTTCAGCCAGGACACCCAGACAGGATGGTGCTGGTACAGTTGCTGGTACATATATTTCTATGGTTGCTGTTCGGATGAGAGACTGCTGGTCTGCCCTGCCGGCAGGATTGGAATTGAACTTTGTTTTCCGAAAAGCTTGGATTTGTTTCATAGTTTCGTGTTCTTGGTGAAATCTATTCTACTGGAATTGTAGAAGGGTAGTCTTTCCAGGTTCCTCAAGCAAGTCTAAGAAAACCATGACACTGGGGATGTTTGATTCATGCGTTGGGGTCTTCCCCAGAACCGTCAGGGAAGTCAGCGCACCTATCTTCAACGATGGGTCATAGCTCGTCTCTTCGCCTTCTTCCAGCCCGCCCGCTTTTGCCAGGTACCCTCCATCCTACAAAGGTCGCGAAAGTACGGCCTATGGGATCCTTTCCCATGAGACGTACAATCCGGAGATGCTCCGGCTCTACGACACGAAGGAGAAGGACGGCCCCAAAGGTGGTTGGGGCTCCAAAGGTGGTTGGGGGGATGTCGGGGTGAACTGTTCTGTGTGAAGACCAACAAGATGGAGATAAGTGTTTGCGAGTTAGCCTTGGGATTCTAAAGTTTTGGGCCATCTAGCCTTTCCAGATGCCAGTAGCTCAGAGGTACCAAAAAATGTACGCAGAAGATTGGTCTCAGGTATTATTCTGGATATGTTTCTGGTTCTTTATCTCCACCGCCCGTTTGTATGGAAGGGTTTTTCCCCGCCAGGAGCGCACTGGCCGCTTCAAGAATCGCTACATTGTGGACCACAACTTCCACGCACAGGACGAACTGCAGTCGTCCCATCGATACCGAGGGCAGACAGGGAAAGCCCACCTCAGCACACCAAGGCCCGTCAAGGCCCCCATCAAGGCCCTGCAAGTGTGGAGCGGGGATGCGGTTCCAAAGGGGTGTTTGATCTGGAAGCCTCTCCTTTCGAGATCCATCACTGACACACTTTGTCCGGCCCGGAGGATGTGTTCAACCGCTCCCCGACTCGCAACTGCTGCTCTTCCGGCAGGGGACGGGCCACCCTGGGGTTTGGGTGGGGCGTCGGCAGGATCTCAAGGGCGACCACATCCGCGAGCTCCGTCAGCTGAACCGCGTGGCCCCGGAGCGCTATGAAGAGCAGAGAAGACGAGGCTACGACATCATCGACGGCCGAGGCTATGGCCCCGGTGCCAAGGAGACTGGGTCAAGACCCCAAAAGACTAGATGAGCGCATCGATGAGATGATGATGATGATGATGATGATGATGATGATGATGATGATGATGA